TTTTTGTACAGATAGAGTGGGAGGGAGAGAGAGGAAGGGAGAGAGAGAGAGAGAAACATCGACGTGAAGGGACACATCGAGTGGCTGCCACCCGCACGACCAACCAGGGCCGGGGACAAACTGCAACCGAAGCACGCGCCCTTAGCGGGAACCGAACCCGGGTCTCTCCGGACGCAGGTCGACGCTCTAACCGCGGAGCCAAACCGGCCAGGGCACTTTGTTCCTCTTTTGCTCCAGGGTTGTGACCCTGGAAAAAGTGGGCAGATGAGGAACTAAGTCTCAGCTTTATCTAAGGCTTTCTGGTAATAAGTCTAAACTGAAAACTATTAGGCAACAGTTGAAGGCAGTGGGGCTGTTAAGTGGAGATGGTGAACCTCCTTCATTCTAAGCAGACTGTGCCCAGGTGGGCAAATGCATGGGAACTGGCTGCTTTAAGCCTCCAGAAAAGGCAGATTTAATTATTATAGGCATATAGATGGGATTCTATAAGAGTGGTCCCCAAATTTCTTTCATTGCAGTCTTGTCAGTAAAAATCATATGAGCACCATCATCAATGTTCATATACTTATTTATACATTACAAAACATATTGCAATTTAGTACATAAATTGTACAATATACAAAATGAAAAATAATAAACAAGAAATGCTTCTGAAATGATTTAAAATTCTATGTGTCTATTAGTGGTGAAAATTCAGTATGCATTTTTATTTTTGAAAAGCTTGATTTAATACTTTGTTATGTAGTGATTTAAAGGTCTGGTTCTAAGGCACACTTATTCCAAAGTCATTTTTAATGTTACTATATTTGAAAAAGATACTGTCAAAGATTTGCAATTCCAAAATGGAAGAAGTACATCTTGGTTGTGTCTAGTAAATCACAGTACTTATTTGTCACCCAAAAAGGTTGTGGGTTCAATTCCAGGTCAAGACACATACCCAGGTTGCAGGTTTGATCCCCAGTTGGGGCACAAGTGGGAAGCAACCAATGGATGTCTTTCTCTCTCTCTCTCTCAAATCAATAAACATATCCTCAGGTGAGGATTAAAAAATAATGAGATACCAGCTCACATCTGTTAGCATGATATATCTTTATGTTTGCCAACTTTTTTTTTTTTAATCCTCACCCGAGGACATTTTTTCATTTTTTGTTCAGATAGAGTGGGAGGGAGGAAGAGAGAGAGAGAGAGAAACATCGACGTGAAAGGGACATATCGAGTGGCTGCCACCCACACGACCCAACCGGGGCCGGGGACAAACCGTAACCAAGATACATGCCCTTAGTGGGAACTGAACCCGGGTCTCTCTGGACTGCAGGCCAACGCTCTAACCACTGAGCAACCGGCCAGGGTTACATTTGCCAACTTTTAAAAATGCTTTGCTATGAAAAATTTTTTAAATAGTGGGATTTTATTTAAATATGTTTTTAATTGATTTTAGAGAGAGAGGAAGGGAGAGGGAGAGAGAGAGAGAGAAACATCAATGAGAGAGAAATGTCAGCATTAATCAGCTGCCTCCTGTACTCCCCTGCTGGGGATCCAGCCTGCAACCTGGCCATGCACCCCAGCTGGGAATCGAACTGGCGACCTCTTGGTGCACGGTTTGATGTTCAACCACTGAGCCACACCGGCCAGGCTGCTATGAAATTTTTTGTCAGTTTTTATCTATTTGTAAAGCAGACTAAATAGTCTACTACTTAAGGTCATGTAGTTGGTTGGTCAATCCACTTAACTAGCTAACACAAGACCCTGAAAGCATGAGGGCACTCATATGAACCCTCTGAGCATGAAACTCACACTTTTCCTCATAATATTTGTATACTGCTTAGAGTCAGCTGTAGTGCATACTTTCTTATTTGTTAAAGAAAATTGCTAAATTCTAATATTCTCTCCTGATATTCTAGGGGCTTTGTTGTGAGTGTCCTTATTTCATGGAGACAAAACTACAGAGGGTGAAAAGAAGCCACTTCTCTTGAGTTGACCCGAGGGAAAAGGGTTAAACCACACAGTTTTTAGAGTTAATAATACCATGTACTTGTAGCTTATGCTATGAATGGCAAGATCTGAGCAATCAAATAAGTTACTCTCTTTTCCCATGTAGAAGATCTGGATTGAGCAAAGAAAAAGTAAAGACAAAATTTTTTTCTTCTTGGCAGTTGATTTTCTTAAAGCGAGACTGCAGTTGTTTGTCCACCTGTCTGTCTTCAGCACCAGACTGAACTTCTTGAGGGCAGAAACACTTCAAGCTTGAATCAGCACAATGCCAGGCATATGGTTGTAAATGATACTTAATGTAAGGATAACAAGGTTTCCATTAGGGCTAGGAAGTAGGAATATCCTAGGGAAAGGTAAGCATGTAGGCTAGAGATTTTCAAAGGAAACTGTGGAATGGAGGAGAGTGGATCAATAGGTCATTGGAAAAGAAATGCAGAACAATGTGAGTGAATTTACAGACTTTTCAGCAGTCTGTATGAAGGGTGTGGCCCAAAGTGACAGAGATGATAGACATAGTAGAATGAACTGAAATCAAAATTCTCTGCAGGTTCAGGAGAAATTCTACATGGTGTCAGAGGCTTTCTGAGACTGATTTCTAGAACTTTGGTTCAAGGTTCTAATAGAATTTTGGCAAATAATTGTTTTGCTCATGTTGCTGTCAGTGAAGAGAGCTTTGCTCAGATGAAGAAGGAAAAGAAAAAAGGTAGTAAAATGAGGGGAGGTAGGATTTTTTTTTTTTTGCCAGTTAAGGATAAATTGAGCATCAGTATTTTAAATGTTTTTTCCCTAATTATTTTGAATTTGTAAAATGCACATCCAAAAAAGTAATAAAAGTAAATTCAAAGTAAACTTCCATAGTAAGGTTATCAAAACATTAGAAAGCATGAGTTTCCACATTAAATACATATACAGTTTGATATTTTTGTGACACTACAGTAATTATCACTCAGTTACCTTAAATTAAAAATTAAATAATATATATACAGGGTGGGGTGAAAGTAGGTTTACAGTTGTAAAACACATTATACCAGATAGATGCAACAATAACAAAATGATCCAAAATATATAAAAATTTTCAATACAACTAAGGTTTTATATACTTTTTTTTTTATCCTTAGCCAAGTATATACATTTCTTCACTTTTGTTCAGATAGAGTGGGAGAGAGAGAGAGAGAGAGAGGAAGAGAGAGAGAGAGAAACATTGACGTGAAAGGGACACATTGAGTAGCTGCCTCCTGCACCACCCCAACCACAGCCAGGGACAAATTGCAACCGAGGTACGTGCCCTTGACCCTAATCGAACCCAAGACTCATTGGTCCACGGGCCGACGCTTTAATTGCTGAGCAAAATCGGCCAAGGCAGGTATTATATACTTTAAAACAAAATGTTAACATAACCACGGATTTATTATATACTTTAATATTCAGTGCTTCTTGAAAGATATAACAAAAATTCCTGGGAAGTTAATGTTTGTAAACAAGGACATATTAATTCAAGTTCAGCAAAGGTTGGGGATAAATATACTTTTTTTCAAGTTAGATTTTAAAATATTAAATGTATTGGGGTGACACTGGTTAATAGGATTATGTAGTTTTCGAGTGTACATTTCTGTGATACATCATCTGGATATTGCATTGTTTGATCACCACCCAAAGTCATATCTTTTTCTGTCACCATAATATTTGAACCCCTTCACCTCCCTTCCCTCTGATAATCACCATACTGTTGTCTGTGTCTATGCATTTTTGTTTGTTTGCTTTTCTTGTTTGTTCACTTGTTGCTTTCAGTTTTATATCCCACATATGAATGAAACCATATGGTTTTTGACTTTTTCTGTCTTATTTCACTTAGCATGATATTCTCAAGATCCATCCTTGTTGGCGCAAATGGCAGTTTTTAAGATATTAAAAAAAAGTTTTTTTCTTTATTGATTTTAGAGAGAGAGGAAGGGAGAGGGAGATAGAAACATCTATGAGAGAGAACATTGATTGGCCGCCTCCTGCATACCCCCCACTGGGGATCAGGCCTACAACCTGGGCATGTGTCCTGACTGGGAATCGAACTGGAGACCTCTTGGTGCATGGGTTGACGCTCAACCACTGAGCCACAACTGTCAGGCAAGATATTTTTAATAGGCAGTTTTTCCCTATTCCTCTTGCGTCTCCACTCCATTCCCCCCTGCTCCCTTTCTCTTTACTTTTAAAATCTATAAAGACTAACCATTGTGTGTAGTGACTAGAACCATTAGAACAAGGTTAAATACCAATCCACAAATATCAGTTAATTTACTCTGGAGGAAATCACAACTAAAACCCCCAAACCGTCTGTTCGTTGCTTCATTCTGGTGTACTAACTATTCCAGAAGATTAAATTCCAGTTCCTTCCATGACTAATAACTGAAGGAATTGAGATAATTTGCAAGTAGGATCACTGCTCTTTGTCAGATACTTAGTCCACATCAGTTTAAGACAGAAATGTGGTAACGATGGTGTTTTTTAGTTAGCAAGGATTTATTGTTTGTGCCAGAATGTACTTGTCTCCTTTGTTTCTCTGCTAACTTACTGATAAAGTTGTTGAGGGTAGAGATGAGTTCTCTAGTCATATTAATATCCCACTTCCTAATATAATACCCGATACTAGATACTCATAAAATTGAATTGAAGTAAACTTTTAGTTATTTTCTTATTTGCCTTCTAAAGCCTTAATGTAGCCCTGGCCGGTTTGGCTCAGCGGTTAGAGCGTCGGCCTGCGGTCCGGAGAGACCCAGGTTCGGTTCCTGCTAAGGGCACGAACTTCGGTTGCAGTTTGTCCCCGGCCCTGGTTGGTCGTGCGGGTGGCAGCCACTTGATGTGTCCCTTCACGTCGATGTTTCTCTCACTCTCTCTCTCTCCCTCTCTCTCCCTCCCACTCTAGCTGTACAAAAAATGGAAAAATATCCGCGGGTGAGGATAAAAAAAAAAAAATTAAAAAAAAAAAATAATAAAGCCTTAATGTATTCACACTGTAGATGCTGAAAAAATCTTTGAAAGGGTCTGAAGATCAAGAACTGAGAGTAACACCTGAAACAGCAAATGTGGTGCCATTTGGGGATGTGGTATGTATGACTGATCCTTAATAAACACGTGCAAGTTATTTCTTATTTTACATTAAGACTAGTTAATGTTTTTATTTGGTAATCAAAAGTATGCATAGAAAATGTTCTCTCTGATAACATAGTCATCGATTTTTCATTTTATGAGTCAGAAAAGCACTTTAATGATCACTGAAATTATGGAAAACATCCTGATTCACAGAAAAAAATGTTTTCTATATTGTAGATTCCTAAAGTCAAATTACATAAGAATCACCTGGAGTAGTTTTCTCTTTCTTTCTTTCTTTCTTTCTTTCTTTCTTTCTTTCTTTCTTTCTTCCTTTCTTCCTTTCTTCCTTTCTTCCTTTCTTCCTTTCTTCCTTTCTTCCTTTCTTCCTTTCTTCCTTTCTTTCTTTCTTCTCTCTTTCTCTCTCCTTCCTTCCTCCCTTCCTCCCTTCCTTCCTTCCTTCCTTCCTTCCTTCCTTCCTTCCTTCCTTCCTTCCTTCCTTCCTTTCTCTCTCTCTCTCTCTCTCTCTCTCGCTCATCCTCATCCGAGGACATTTTATTTATTTATTTATTTATTTATTTATTTATTTATTTATTTATCATCCTCACCCAAGGACATTCTTCCATTGTCTGTTCAGATAGAGTGGGAAGGAGAGAGAGGGAGGGGGAGAGAGAGAGAGAGAGAGAAACATCAACGTGAAAGGACACATTGAGTGGCTGCCACCCGCACGACCCACCAGGGCCAGGGACAAACTGCAACTGAGGCATGCGCCCTTAGCGGGAACCGAACCCGGGTCTCTCTGGACCACAGGCCGACGCTCTAACTGTTGAGCCAAACCGACCAGGGCCAGAGGACATTTTTATTCCATTTTTTGTTCAGATAGAGTGGGAGGAAGAGAGAGAGAGAGAGAAACATCGACGTGAAAGGGACACATCGAGTGGCTGCCTCCTGCATGACCAACCAGGGCTGGGGACAAACTGCAACTGAGGTACGTGCCCTTAGCGGGAACCGAACCCGGGTCTCTCTGGACCACAGGCCGACACTCTAACCGCTAAACCAAAGTGGCCAGGGCACCTGGAGTAGTTTTTAAGAACATTGATTTTCAGGCCCTACCTAAGATCTGCTACCTTAGAATTTGAAAATAGGACCTAGGAATCAGTACTTTATTGAGCTCTCCAGATGATTGTATTCGTTGTCAGATTTAGGAACCTTTGAGTTACAGTTTGAAAATTGACTCTATACCTTCTCTCTTCCAAAAAATAATAAACCCCAGGGGAAACAATCAAACATACACGCAAACACACAGGAAGGACCTAATATCTAAGCTGAGGAACAGAAAAATCTGCTTTTTCTTTTGGGTGCTACAGATACAGGAAATGAGGATATGTATACATTTGGAACTGTCTAAGACAGGTATTCTATTGCAGCTATCTTTTTTCTCTGAGCACTATTAGAGTAGTTAATAGCTATGAAATAAGAATTTCTTTTATCTCTCTTTCCTGTATCCTATCACATACTAGTATATTTTTTTTGATTAACAAACATATTATTTATTTAACACCACCTTTTGGAAGGAAATAGTAAGGCTATATTAATGTATACATTTTTGTTTTTACAAAATGTCCATGGTGTGCATTTATCTACATAATTATATAATACTTTCTTATATCACACCCAAAGCTGGAGTATTAGCCTTTACTGTCTGAATCTAAATTTAGAAAAGATTATTTGAAATCACTTTTGGCCGTAAGCAATTATGCATGTCATTATGTTGACATACTAATTTCCATAACCCATACTCTTAAATATAACTTTTACATCTTTTTAGAACTGACATTTTGAAAACCATTTTGATCTCACACTTTTTAACTTCATAGTTTTTATTTTCCTTATTTGAATTACATGTTGCTAGATATGCAAAAGCTTCTCTTAAAGGTCCACTGGCTGGAAGTGTTGACGGAGATGTTTGGCATGTAATTGATAGCTCCTCCCAATGCATGGTTTAGTCACACCATTTCCTCTTTGAGAGTTCGGTGATGTTTTTGAAATATTTGGCAAGGTTTGCACTTGTGTAAACAAAGATAACCACGTAACAACCCACTACTCCTGTTTCTGATAGTCACATCCCATTTTCAGAAAAAATGTGTGAAGAGTCTGTGTCTTAAAATTAGTCACAAAGAGTGTTTTTGTGGCATGGACACAGACAACAGTGTGGTGATGGCCAGAGGGAAGGGGGTTGGGGGCTTGGTATGGGGGGGGCAGAGGAGGGGGGAATGGGGACATTTATAATAGTGTCAACAATAAAAATAAAGATGCCCTATCCAGTGTGGCTCAGTGGTTGGAACATTGGCCCTCACACCAAAGGGTCTCGGGTTCGATTCCCAGTCGAGGGCATGACCTGGGTTGCAGGTTTAATCCCCAACCCTGGATCGATGTTTCTCTCTCTCTCTCTCTCTCTCTCTCCCCCCCTCCCCCTTGCCTCCTTCCTTCCTTCCTTTCCATTCTCTCTGAAAATCAATGGAAAAATATCCTTGAGTAAAGATTTTTTTAAAAAAATGCTTTTGTGAAGAGCTTTCTGGTTGCTTTCCTGTTTTAAATGCATGTTTGAGAGTGTTTGGGGGTGGAGATACTGATATGGTTATTGCTTTGCGCTACAAATGAGTCTCAGATTCTGTGGCAACATTTGTTACCGTAGTCTGTGAATTGTCATTATTGTATTTTTGAGAGTTAAATCTTTTTTCTATATTATATGGATCTACTATGTAAATATATTAAAAGCTATTGAAACATAAGGAAGATTAAGATAGTTGCCCAAGACTTCATGTTGAAATACTTGGCAGGCAGGCAGTGATTTGCAATGTATAGCATTTTATAATATAAAATTATAGCTGTACTTGCCTGTCTTATCCTCCTTGTATACAACCCAATTTTAAGAAATAAACAATGATTCATGGAATCTCCTATGGCAATCCCTCCTAGATTATATATACAGTAGGCATTACCCACTCCCTTTGAATTTGAAAATTCAGAATCTTTCCTTTACCATATTTCATACCTATGTTTCCTTAGGAAGTAGACCATAATATTTTCTTTAGGATTTCATCATTCAGATACAGTAGTCTTTTAATTAAATATTAAATGCTAATACCATTTTTTGTATTGTTCTAAAACCAATTACATTACATTTAAAAATACTATTGGGCCATTTATTTTATTTTATAATGTTTAATATTTGGTTAATGCTGAATATTACTTTCAAGTGTTCCTGTATTCGTTTTGTATTTAATTTTATGTTTAAACAAAGATACAATTTTCTTTAACATTTAGAAACACTTTGGATAAGAGAGAATGAATATTTCACAGCTCTTGACATATTATAGTCAGTGAATGACTATTGAATGAATAGAGTGGGTTTAGGACACAACAAAAAAGCTTATCTCAAGCAAGGCATGTTTCTTATTATTATATGCAAGATGCTACATTTTACCACTTCTTGCCTAATAGAAAATAAAAAAGATTCAAAGAGTGATGGTTGGATTTAAGTTGATAATGAACCATTGTTTTGTTTTGTATTCTTGTTTATTTTAGGTTTATTTTAAACAAATCCTGCCTGTTTTTCTTCTGTATTTCTGCTTTCTGGTGTTTTCCAATCACTAGATATTTCTAATGAGAAACAATATTTCTAGTGATTAAGACTAACAAAGTAGAGCTTTAAAAAATATGTAGTTTGGTGTAGAGTAAAATGGAAGAAAAGTTAACTTAAAAAAAATTCATTCACTGTGTTTTTATTTTGATTGTTATAGGTTGGCTGTCTGGCTATTCATATAAAGAGCTGCAGACATTTTGTATCTCAGAGTATCCTTTCTTTTGATTTAAGAATCATGCTATGATCATACATTACTGTTTCAGTTATATATTTCTGCATTACAAGACACTCTAAGACTTAATGGCTTAAAATATTAACTATTTTATAATTAATCACTGTCTATGCATTCAATTGGTAGTACTTCTGCTTCATTATCACTGCAGTCATTTGGCAGTTTAGAAAAGCTGGAATATCTAAAATGGCTCATTTATGTGTCTGGTGCTTTAGTGAGAAGGCCTGGAAGACTGGACTCAGCTGGGATGCTGAAATGGTTGGACCTTTCTCTCTTTCTATGTAATCCCAGGGCCTTGTCTTTTATTATTTCTTTCTGAATTTATTTTTATTTAAAAAATATATTACATTAAAATATTTTTTATCTTCATTACTGAAGTTTTTGGTATCCCCTTAAATTTTGCACCCTGACTAGTGAGTGCCCCTCTGTCCCTATTTTGTCCCAGCCTGATCATGTCCATTGCATGTTAAAATAGCCACTGGTCCAGGTGAGATTCAAGAGCAGAGGAAAATAAATGTCCCTCTTAGATGTAGAGAGTGACAGAAGATTTTCAGCCATCTGTAACCCACCTCAATAACCATATAAGTTAAAGGAAAAAATATGTATCTTCTCGTAATATTTATTACTAATTTATTTCTAAGTAATAACTGTGCTTCTCTTAAACATTGTTTAAAGGATTTATTTATCGTGATACCTTTAAATAAGCTAAATACATATTATTAGATTTATCAGGGCATAAACCCAGTCTCATTATAAAGACTTAGTGTTTCTTTTTTATATAAGTGAATTAGTGAAGAGAGTTCTGTATAAAGAGATTTTTGAAGGTAATTAGTTAAATCATAAAAACAAAATTGTTTTAATGTGTGGAGTGCTATGAAAGATAAAAATGCAGGCCAGTATAGTATAAGTGAAGTATATAGTGAAGTGAGTTAGAGTAGAATTCTGCTTAAAATAAAAAATAAAAATTACTCTCAAATAACATATTTTTCAATTTCTATATAATTATGCTTTAAAATTTTTCACTATATATTATAAATGTTTATTCACCTTAAAATATAGAAAAAATTTCAAAGGAATTATAATGGAAATGTAAGGATAAAAATATGAGAATTTATCTAAGAATCAACTTTTTCCTACTTATATTGTACCTAAGATTGATGGGCAAAAATACTATTTTAAAGGACTTTTTTATTGTTTAATGTGCTCTACAATTACCTCTTTATTTATTTCATTGATTTTTAAGTTTTGGTCTGAACTGTTTGATGGATTAATTTTATAATGTGTTATTGTTTAATTACAACAAAATTTGCTTCCTAAATATCTATGTGTTTTCAGTCAACTTACAGCATTACAATAATTTGTACATTCGCATCTCTATAAACAACATTGTGAAATGTACAAAAATGTGTAGCTTGCTACCCCAAAACACACTATATCACAGTAATGAAAAGAAATCTATAATTAAGTTTGATGAAGTGAAGTATTTTTCTGTACAGGTAATGTAAAGTTCTCTTCTAGATATAAGAATGCATTTGTTTTAAATGCTGCATTAATTATATCTTTTTGGGGGGGTAGGAAAGAAACAAAAACAGTACCTCTAAAAAATAGAATACTATAAAATGCACAATCTTAGTGGTTTTTTTCCCCTGAGACCTTACTGTCTGTGGTTTATCACACATGCATTTTTCTCTGTCATGCTCTTCCCCTCCCATCTATCATTTCCCACCCTGTTTCAGTCAGTTTGGGCTGCTGTAACACAGTACTGTAGACTGGGGGTCTTAAACTACAAAAGTTTATTTCTTACCTTTTTGGAGAATGGGAAGGTCAAGATCAAGGTGCTGGCAGACCCATTGTTCCATGAGAGCCTGCTTCCTGGTTTGCCATTGGCTATCTTTTTTAAATTTTTTTTTTCCTTTATTGATTTTAGAGAGAGGAAGTGAAAGGGAGAGAGAGACAGAAACATCGATGAGAGAGAATATCGATTGGCCGCCTCCCGCATGCCCCCCACTGGGGGTCAGGCCCACAATCTGGGCATATGTCCTGGCTGGGAATCAAACCGGTGACCTCTTGATGCATGGGTTGATGCTCAACCACTAAGCCACACCACCTGGACGGCCATCTTCTTATTGTTATAGTGATACGGCAGAGAGTAGAGAGAGGTCATCCTTTTTTGTGTCTCTTCTTATAAGAGTACTTAATCCAATTCATGAGGGCTTTACCTTCATGACCTAATTACATCCCAACCACTCCACATACAAATACCACTTTGTTGGGGATTTAGAATTCAATATATGATTTTTGAGGGGACACAACCTTTCAGTTCATAGCACACCATTTTTTTTCTTGTTTCTCCTTTACCTCTCTCCTTTCTTCTTATAAAATCTCTCCCAATTATTTTTGCATGAATTAATCTCTTTAGTTTTTAATAATTTAATAATTTAATAATTCCTCCCCAAAATATACACTCTCATTAGCATCAACAAAATGAAAACACAACCTACAAAATGGGAGAAATATTTGTAAACCATATATCCAATAGGTTAATAGGTTAATATCCAAACATATGTGAATATATAAACTCATACAATTTAATAGAAAATCCAATTAAAAATGGCAGAAAATCTGAATAGACATTCTTCCAGAGAAGACAACCAAATGGCCAACAGGTATATGAAAAGGTACTCACCATCAGTAATCATTGGGAATGAAAATCAAAACCACAGTAAGATATCACCTCACACCTGTTAAAATGGTTTAGATCTGAAAGACAAGATGTAGAGGATGTAGAGAAAAGGAAACCCCTGTGCACAATTGGTAAAAAAGTAAATTGGTTTAGCCACTATGGAAGACAGGATGGAGGTTCCTCACAAAATTAAAAGTAGAATTACCAGACGATCCAGTAATTCTACTTGTGGGTATTCAAGGAAAACAAAATCACTATCTTGAAAAGATATCTGCACCCCTGTGTTCGCTGCAGCATTATTTACAATAGCCAATATATGGGGGGAAAACTAAGTATCCATCCAAGGATAAATAATTTTTTTTTTAATTCATGAAATATTATTCAGTCATGAAAAAGAAAGAAATCCTGCCATTTGCAACAACATGGATGGACCTTGAGGCATCATGCTAAGTGAAATAAGTCAGACAGAGAAAGGCAAATACTACATGATCTCACATAAATGTGGAATCTAAAAAACAACCTAACCCTAAATTATGTATACAGAGAACAGATTGGTCATTGCCACAGGTGGAGTTTGGGGAGTGGGTGAAATGGGTAAAGGTGATCAAAAGGAACAAGCTTCCAGTTATAAATATGTTCTGGGTATCTAATGTACAACATGGTGACAATGATTAATAATACTGTATTGTATTGTTAGAGAGTAGATCTTAAAAGTCCTCATCACAAGAAAAAAATTGTAACTGTATGGTGATGGATGTTAACTTACTGTGATAATTATTTTTCAATATATACAAATATCAAATCATTATATTATACACCTAAAAGTAATATGTTGGATGTCGATCATATCTTAATTTTTTAAAAAACTACTTAGAATCTTGGGGTGGGGATGCATGAGATTTTTTTTCTAACTATCTAGACCTAGAGTATGGATTTTAAAGGTGACATATAATGGTATTATATTACAGATTGTAAAGTTCCAAGTTGAGACAGTGGTATACATTTTATCAAAAAGTTAAAGAAAAAAGACTGAAAAGGGGGCCATGTATTCTTTTCTCTTGTGCTTCTTTATTATTTTTCATAGATCACTTTCCAGAAGTATTTAATTAATTAGCTACTTGTCCATTTGTTATCTTTTCACATCAGAATATAAATTTATACATATGGGGCCTCTATCTCGTCCACTGGTATATACCCAGTTGTTTGCCAGAAGGAAGAGGGCAGGGAGTGAATAATTGGGTGAAATCCCCACCCTTTACAGTAGAAAATCAACAGGCAATGTCCAAAAAAAGAAAGAAAGAAAAAAAAAAGACTGAAAAGGATATTGGATGTCTTTTGGTATTGGATGTCTGGATTACCTAGATTGCTTGGATTGGATATTGTATATTAAATACCTTTAATATTGTAGCTTCAGTAGAGTGTTGAGGCTAAACTTCTGTATAGAGTTAGGAGGGAGAAGGTAGCCCTGGATGGTGTGGCTCAGTTGGTTGGAGCGTCCTCCCATATACCAAAAGGTTACAGGTTTCATTCCCAGTCAGGTCACATACCTAGGTTGCATGTTCGATCCCCGGTCAGAGTTCTTGAGGGAGGAAACCAATCAATGTTCTCTCTTGTTAATCTCTCTCTCTCTCTCTCCTTTTTCCCCTCTCTCTAAAATCAATAAGCATATCCTTAGGTGAGGATTTAAAAAAAAGAATGTAGGCATGGGTGTTTCAAAAAGACTATACTTGACATTAGACATAAGATTCTGATTTTTGTTGACATTAAGGTATATAATTATAATCATGAGATTGAAAATTATAAGACTAATAACATGAAAACTAATTATTAGATATGTACATAATATAGTTTATGGATGTATTTATTCAGAAATTATATCTGAAATTTAAACTGAAAATTTAATGCTTCTTTTTTTTAAATTTATTTTTGGTGTTGTTTTTAATCCTCATCTAAGGATATTTTTTCCATTGATTTCTAGATAGAGTGGAAGGAGGGAGAAAGGAAGAGAGAGAGAGAGAAACATCGATGTGAGAGGGACACATTGATTTGTTGCCTCCTGCAGGACCCCGACAGGGTCAGGGGATGGAACCTGCAACCCAGGTAAGCACCTTTGACCAAGAATTTAACCCTCTCCCCTTTGGTCTGCAGGCTGTTGCTCCAACTGCTGAGTCCAACTGGCCAGAGCTAATGCTTCTTTTTATATGTGTTTTCTATCAAGGTTCCCAGACGTCAAGATGATGTGCGGAATGATATTTACTTGGATCTAATGCAATATGACAATAAAGAAAACCAAAATCTCTTGTTAGGGCGTGTTCATGTACACCTTTATGAAGTAATTCAGGTATGTATTAAAATCATTTTTTAATTTTGGTATAACATTGTCCAGTTGGTGTTTATTGTTAAGATTTATCTATACCTTGCCCTGGCCAGTTTGGCTCAGCGGTTGGAGCGTCGACCTTCGGTACAGAGAGACCTGGGTTTGGTTCCCGCTAAGCCACGTTCCTTGGTTGCAGTTTGTCCCCGGCCCTGGTTGGTAGTGTGGGTGGCAGCCACTCGATGTGTCCCTTTCACATTGATGTTTCTCTTTCTCTCTCTCTCTCTCTCTCTCTCTCTCTCTCTCTCTTCCTCTCTCTCCCCCCCCCACTCTATCTGTACAAAAAAGGAAAAATGTCCTCAGGTGAGGATGAAAAATAAATAAATAAATAAAAATAAAAAATAAAAATAAAAAAAGATTTGGTTTATAACAGCATAATGTTTTTGAAAATTTATTTTCTGAAAGGGCAGTGATACAACCTGAAAGATTAAGCATGTTTTATTAGGCATCCGAAATGTTTTAAAACAAGACTCCAGCCACAAACTCTATCTCTTAGTTGGCAGCATAAATTTCAGTTTTTTATTGGTGTTAATTCTCACCTGAGGATATTTTTTCATTGATTTTTAGATAGAGTGGGAGGGAGAGAGGGAGGGAGAGAGAAACATCGATATGAGAGAGACACACCGATTAGTTGCCTCCTGCATGATCCCAAAACCTGCAAGTCAGGTACATATGTGCCCTTGACCAGGAACCAAACCTGCAACACTTTGGTATGAGATTCTAACTATTGAGCCAAACAAGCCAGTTCTTTTATCCTTAGCTGAGCTGCTTGCCATCTGCCCTGTGCATGTGTTGTTTAGGGGTCAGCCAAAGTTTTGGGAAGAGTTTATACACAGTTTTTTAAAAATTCTTCCCTGAGGACATTTTTTCATGGACTTTTTTTTAGATAGAGTGGGAGAGAGAGAGAGAAAAAAACATTGATGTGAAAAAGACACATTGACTAGTTGCCTGCCGCAGGACATCGACCAGGGCCAGGGATCGAACTCACAACTGAGGTATGTGCCCTTGACTGGGAATCAAACCCACAACTCTGGTCTGTGGACCAATGTTCTAACCACTGAGCCAAACCAGCCAGGGCATATACAGATTTTGTGAGTCCTCTTTTGTTTTTTCCTTCCTAAGTGTGTTCCCTTTCCCATTACAAATTTTGAATAAAGGAAAATCCATGAATCCTCTTGATCTTCAGAGAGAGAGAGAGAGAGGAGAGAGAGAGAAAAAAATTATGGGAAGAAAAAGGTAACCTTTTTATTTTACAAATTCACCATTTCTGTAACTTTTTATAATGAGTAATGATTCAGTGAAGAGTTAGCAACGGTACTAAAAACATTAGGTAAAAGGTGCATGGGAATACGATATTTAGATGGTGCCACAGTAAGAGCCCAGAGATTAATTATTACAAAGGGGGAAATGTGCCTGTATAGTGAGAGATGTGGTGGTTACCACTTTAACCAAGAGCTTGAATGCAGCATAAGTAATTTTGGACAACTTAATACCTAAGGTGGTACAATATGACATACACAACCTATGAATTATTCTCATCATAAATGTTTAAGCCAAGTCTAACCAACCTGAATCTAGACCTAACTTTTAGGGCATAGGGAAAAAGTTAAATAATACCATGATGACATGATAAGATAAATACATAATGTGAGACATACCAGCTTTGCTTCTTTAAAAAGTTAATATCATTAAAAAGCAAAAATGGGACAACTGTTCTAGATTTTAAAAGATACAACTTTGATTGACTATAGGCTTGAAAAAGTTATAAAAGACATTCATGTGAAAATTAGGAAATTTTTAATATATATTGAATATTAGATAAAATTCTACAATTATTGTTAATGTTCTAAAGTATGATACGAATAAGGTTCTTTAGAAGGATATCCTTATTTTTACAGTGTGCAAGGTGACGTTTTAACACTTTGGAGTGAAGTGACATGATGGCTGCCACCTACGAGTGGCGCAGTAAACATGTGTGTACACACACAAATAAGGCAAGCAAGGCAAAATGTTAAAACAGTTTTAACAATTGTTCAATTAAACAAATGTTTGAACTTGTTTAATCTAGGGAAAGGGTATTTTGATACTTATTATTGTAGTCTTTTGACCGACCTGTATTTGAAAATTGTCACAACAAGAACTTAGGGGAAAGTCAGATAGCTTTTCAATGTATTAGCAAGAGGCATCAGGTGAAGAAGAGCATATTGACTACTGAATAAGAGGAAGAAACTGAGTAGTAATATCAAGGGTTGAAGAGGTTGGAGAGAAAAAGGTGCCCTCATTTACTGCTGGTGGGAATGTAAACTGGTACAGCCACTATGGAAAACAGCATAGAAGTTCCTAAAAAAATTAAGTTGTGACCCAGCAATCCTCCTTTTGCGTATTTGCCCGAACTTAAAAACGTTTATTCGCAAAGATATATATACCCCTATGTTCATTGCAACATTATTCACAGTAGCCAAGACATGGAGACAACCAAAGTGTCCTTCGATAGAAGATTGGATAAAGAAGATGTGGTACAAATATATAGTGGAATACTACTCAGCCATAAGAAAAGATGCAATACTGCCATTTAATACAACATGAACAGACCTTGAGAATATTGTGCTAAGTGAAATAAGTCAGTCAGAAAAAGCTAAGAACCATATGATTTCACTCATATGTAGGATATAAAACTGAATTCATAGACCCAGACAACATTATGGTAGTTAATAGAGGGAGGTTGGGGGGGAAGGTAGTAAAGGGTAAAAGGGACCAAATATATGGGGACAGAAGAAGATTTGATTGTGGGTGTGGGTGCACAAAGCATTATACAGATCATGTGTCATAGAAATGTACACTTGAAACCTGTATGATCTTATTAACCAGTGTCACCCCAATAAATTTAATTTAAAAAGTAAAATAAGAAGAAAGAGTAAGCAACTGAAGATCCTCAGAATAATTTGGAAAGAGGACTTTGGAAATGACTAAAATTCTTTCTATTTTATGGCAATTTAGGCATTTGAAAAATGTTACATTATTCATTAGTCACATTTTGTTGAATGAGCTAGGACATTTGGGCTATATATGTGCAAACTTTTCAGTTTTTATGAGAGTACATTTTTAAAATTGAAAATATCACCTACCATCCTATAATTCTAATACAGCATTTCATTGATCAGAATTTGCTTCCAATTATTTTTTATAAACATAAGCAGAAAAATAGAGAATATTAAAAGAACCAAATATAAATTCTAGAACTATAAAATTTATTATCTGAAATTAAAAAATTATTATTTATATTTAAAAAACTTTTCTTTCCTTATTGATTTGAGAGAGAGGAAGGGAGAAGGAGAGATAGAAACATTAATGTAAGAGAGAAACATCGATTGGCCACCTCCTGCATGCCCCCTACTGGGGATCAGGCCCTGACCAGGAATCAAACTGGCCACCTCATGGTGCATGGGTCGACGCTTAACCACTGAGCCACACCAGCTGGGCTGAAATAAAAAAATTATTTGATGGACTTTGCAGAATAGGGATGTCAGAGGAAAGACTATTTTTTTGCTCCCAATTTCTTTAAAATATATGACTAATTAAAACAAAAACTATAACATTGTCTTGTGGGGTTTATAATGTTTGTGGATGTAATGTATATGATAAGTATAACATAAAGGATAGTAAGAGGAGCTGGGGTTTAAAGGACCTATAAAATTGCAAGATTTTTATAATTTCCCCAGATTATAACATCTTTCAAAACTGTAGTACAATATCACGACCAAGATAGGATAGACCACTCCCATCTCTATAAGGTTTTCTCATGCTGCCCTTGTATATCTATACCCCTTTCTCTCCCACCCCCACCTCTCCCAACCCTTAGCAATCACGAATCTGTTCTTCATTTCTGCAATTTACTCATTTCAAGGATGTTATATAAATGGAATCATATAATACATAACCTTTTAGGATTTTTTTTCACTTAGCATACATAATTATCTGTAGAGTCATCCAGGTTGTTGCATGTGTTGAGTTTCTTTTTTGTTACTGAATATTGATCCATGTTGTGAATATATCACAGTTTGATTAACCATTTACCCACTAAAAGACATCTGGGTTGTTTCCAGTTTGGGGTTGTTATGACTAAAACTGCTATAAACATTCATGTACAGATTTTTGCATGAACATAGATATTCATTTCTCAGATAAATTTCTGGGTGGTAAGGTAGTTGCATGTATAATTTTAAAAGAAATTGCCAAACTCTTTTCCAGAGTGGCTGTGCCATTGTACATTCCCAGCATCATTATCAATACTGTTATTGTTCTTTATTTTAGCCATTCTGATAGGTGTGTGGTGGTATCTCATTGTGGCATTAATTTGTAGTTCCCTAATAGCTCATATGCTGAACATATTTTCGTGAGTATCTTTTAATTTATAGATTATTCCACTTTTACTGAAGTGTTTACCTAGGTACAACAAGATGTATAGGCTACTGCACAGGCTTTACCACAATAGTACAGTAAAAGGTCAGGGACAGTTTTATTTTCTAGGATGGTTCTACTCACATTTTATAAGCTGATCTGTATGTTTTCTAAGTTTGAGCTGTATCATTTGTTATTGGTGTCACATGCAGGGATAGATTAAAGACCCTTTGTTTTAGGTCTAGAACTACCAGCCAGAGTGGAAATCCTCATGCAGTCTGGCAAAATCTAGTGCTTGGATGAGGTGGAAGGGCCTGATGATCAGACCCAAACTACAGATCATATTTGGAAGCACAGCAGTTTTCCTGCTGGTATATGTGGAGAGCACACAAATGTATTGTTTATAATTACAATTAGTATCAATTGCTTTCTGAATGTACTTTGCCTGATTATGGAAGACAGACCTTGAACTGAATTAAACAAATCACATATTAGGTTTTGCATAGCTTTATAAAAAAAAATTGATCTGTAGCTTGAATCATTAATCCCTGGTTCCTTTCTATCCCTGATACATCTGGGGTTCCTTTGGGGTTCCTTTGAGGTTCTGGGAGAAACCAGAAACATCAGCTAGTTGCTAAGGCTTAGAGTCCAATTAAGGCATGTAAGTATATTGGAATGTATAACATTCCTATATTAATTATAAAAGGGAATATGATTGTTAATTTTGGGATAATTGTAGTACTACTTGTGTGTATTGGTTTGGCTGTATGATCCTTACCAGACAATCCTAAGACAAGCTAATAAATTCAACGGTTAGATAGATTGATAGACACTGTAATTATTTGAGAAAGGCAATAGAGGATTCAAAATTATGGAAGATTGTTAGAGTAATGCACCCTAAAGAATCATACCTTTCTGTACCCACGCCTTTGAGGAATCTACAGTTTTCCTCTCCCCACTAGGCTTAGCCACATAACTTACTTTGGGCAGAGCAGAGACAAATTCAGGACAGGGAGCTAGGTAGGTCATTGCCATTCATTGAAACTCACCAGAGGAGCTGAGTGCAGGCAAACCTAAAACGCAGTGAATTTTTATGAGATGCACATTCAGGATGAATATTTTAATTGGCTCCAATGAAGACACAGTTTGCAGATCTGAGTAGGACCTCCAGAAATAACTCAAAGACATTTATAATAGTTAAAAATATGACTAAAAGTTTACTTTTATATGAGGAAGGTGAATGAATAGATTGAGATCTTTGATCAAAAGCAGAGGCACAGAGTATAAAAGAGAATAAGAAAAAGGCAGTCTTGGAACAGTTAGATATTTCCCAATCCGCACCCCCCAACTTTGGAAAAGGGAAGCTATCACGAGCAAAAAGTGATAAAGAGTAGGTTGACAGAATCATTAAGAAAGTAGATTTCAGTTATATATGAATATTCTGAGAAATCTTGTGATTTTTATATGAACAACATATAGCAGGTCCTCAAATAACACCATTTTCTTATAACATTGATGAAATGACACAGAAACTTAACTCTTGTTTATATCAATTAGCCTGTGGGAAAATTAGTATCATTATATGTCATTTGGCTTAAGGTTGAATAACCTATGGACATTGAGTGAGGATTTACTGTTTACGATATGCTAATTCTGTGTGATGTCTGCCATTGCAACCACCTATTGTTTCCCTCATTATAATGTCTCAGCAGGATTGAGAGGGCAGGTGTTGTGGATTGTTATGTTTTGGGAGTGCAATGGGTACAAAGAACATATGAACCAGGCACCAAACTTTTCACTAAATAATTAGTGACTGAACTGTCTGAAAGACATGCCAGATAGCATGAGGCTTAAAAGAGGAACACTGTTTATACCTACATGGAATGAGTAGACGGGAGTGTGGAGGATGTTACTCTACCTCCTGACCTTGAGGTAAGTGTGCCCTCACTTATAAGGGAAGCAGCATCCTTAGTGGTGAGCCAGGTCTCAGGTAAAGTAAAGGGGGGATGTATAGTGGATCAGTTAAAGATGTAAGGTTGTTGGTTAATCATGGAATGGGAATTCCACCAGCTGCAGTGGAAAATGGTGGAAAGGAAGGGAACTGTGGGGTGTTGGATTGGGTGAGAGAACTGATAGCACAGCAGAGATGACCCAGAAGGTGACCAAGGACACCAAAGGTTTGCCTGTTTTAAAAGTACCAACAGTCCCCAAAAGATGCAAGAAGCCCCCAGTTCTGTCAGGAGTCAGCTTATCAAGTAGGTTTATGTTTAAGTAACCCTTTAATAACAAACTATAGAGATGATCCTAAAAGTACTCTAGTCAGTTCCTCTAAGACTTCCAAAAAGAGGAACTATAACTAGCAGGAACATTGTTGTCTAAAACATAAATGGAAATATTAACATTCATTTTTGATACAACCTGGAATTCTGATTTTCTTCCAAATATTCATTTTATTTGTATTTTAGCTACTAAATTAATATGTGCATTAAAAAATCATTACCTGATTTTCAAAAATTTATGAAATGGTTTAGATTATATACATGAGTGAGTCTATATTTAAGAACTTAATTATTTATTACTTTTTTCTAGAAAGGGTGCTTTACTGAAGAATTTCAAATGTTCAATGAAAACACAGTAAGAGCTTTATTGAAACTTCCAAAGTTTTGTGCCTACACTTAACATTTCATATAACTTTACTTTGATATTGTTTGTAGCCTCTAATGTTGTTTTTATTCTTTTGTTACCCTACTAGACACTGTTTGAATTAATGGCAATATATTGAATAGAAAGTGCCATATTTACTCACAAAATATTTATCTCCACCTTTTATAAATGCTCTGTCTTACTGCTACATGGTGAACAAGACAATTAGAAATCACTGGGTAAGAGAGTAAAATGCCTCTCGCTGCTGCTTTGACTGTATAGCCTCAGAATCCTCCCTTGCTGAGGAAATAGTATTTTTCTAATGAGGAGTTCCTGAAGAGTTGTTTACAGTTCTTACTTGAATTTCTCTTTAAATACTTAAAAATTATTATCTGATTAATTGATCTTTTATTCAGAGAGGCTTCTGCTACCAATAGACAAAACAGGCACAAGGAACATAAAAAATAGAATGATGGACACGTGAGGTCATAACCTCTGACCCCCTTCTTCATCTCACATACAAGTGAGCTGGGTTCAGAGTCTAAATCAAAATTATTACCTGAAAATGGAAATGGAGGTGGGAGAAGTGTGAGTAAACACTTAAAAATATATATACAAATATATGAATATATACTCATATGTATGTGTCTCAGAATAATCCTATTAACAATTTTAAATTGATATTCTCCACATTTTAGTCATATAACATTCCTTAGCTTTAATATAAAAGTTTTAAAAAAATTTTTTTTTTTTTGGTAGATCAGGAGATTTATGCTTTGGTTTTCTAACTTACAGATTTGTGAAGTAAAAATATTACTTTATTAAAAAATATCTTTCTGATCAAACAATAAAATAAATTTGCCACGTTTAGTTTATCTGCAGGGTGGAGGTGGAATTTATGTTCTCCTATGGAAACTTTGGTTATGGATTTTCGCATCAGGTTAGTTCCCTTTTTAAAAATTATTTTACTGCAGCTCTTCAGTCACATCACCCCCTCCTGAGCCACAGTCCTTTCCAGTTTGATAATTCATGTTTTTAAAAGAATGCTGTTTTTCTCCAGCCTAAAGAAAAATGAAATTTTGTCATTATTTGCTTATCTCTTTTAAAATAATGACCTTTTATTCAAAATATCTTTATTATAAAACTTGCTTTTGTGTATGTACATATACTTATGTAATTGAAAACAAAATTAAGTATTCAAGAAGTAAGTGTGGATTTTCATATCTAAAAATACTTATTAAAAATGGAGTCATTGTCTGGCCACTGTGGCTCAGTGGTTGAGCATCAACCCATACACCAAGAGGTCGCCGGTTCAATCCCTGGTCAGGACACATGCCCAGGTTGTGGGCCTGATCCCCAGTGGGAGGTGGTCATCATTGTTCTCTCTCATTGATGTTTCTATCTCTCTCTCTCCCTCTCACTTCCTCTCTCTCTAAAATCAGTGAAGGAAAAAAAAAAATGGAGTCGTTGATGTTCAGATAACATTTGTATTCTGATCACATACGTTCTTTTCCCCCATGGTTATTTCAGTATCTGGTGTTATTTGTATCTTCTTTGATTCATCAAGAAAAATCATACGCCCAAAGAAGATATCTTCCTACCTTTGGCCTGCCCCTTTAAATTCACTACATATATCCAAGTTTTACGTTAACCTATGTCCTTTCATTTTGTCTATAGGTTAGATTCCTAGAGTGGAAATTATTGTCCAAAAACAATAAACTTTTTAAGGAATTACTCTAGAAAAGTTGTAGCAACATATATTTTTATCAGATGTTTGAAAGAATTCTTGATATCCCTTGGCATTATCACAGCTTTGGGACATTTATAAATCTAGTCCTATTAGTGTTACCATTATATAGGGGAAATAACCCCTATACTTTGCACATAATCTTATATTTTTTTTTAGTTTTTGCTCTTTTTATAGTCTTGGTTGTTTTTAAAATTATGAATTGAAAGTGGTTTAAGTCTTATTAAAAAGTCTGCCACTATGTTAACTGAGAAATCACTGTAAAATGTATTTTTAAATATTTGTCTACAGTAGATAATGATTTTTAATGCACTTTGAGTCAGAAGTAATATTGAAATGAAAGCCAGGAGGCACAAATGTTTTTTTCTTTTTTACTTTCTCTGCTTTGGTATTTTTTCCTCCTGCCTATTATCTTTCCTTTCTTATCATGAATTAGGTGTTATAGGAGCCACTAATTGTTTAGTCTTTTTTGTAACAGTCATGGTTTATGGGCATCAACTTCAGAGGTAAGTTTTGTGTTTGAGTATAACATGTAACAATCCCATTCTTAGGGAGACACATTCTTTCCAAATAAAACTGGGTAGGTATTGTTTTATGTAGGTGGACTCTACTAAAAATAAGGAAAAAATGTATTATATGGAAAAGAGTGGAAAATATAATAAAAGTTCAAATTGATTTTCTGTCTATGAACTTTTCATAGTCCCCTGCTCACCTGTCATGACAATGTCCAAAAGAGTACTGCATTGGGGGCAAAAAGCTATATTTAAATTCTGACTCTCATGCCTATTGGGTAACAGAACAAATTACCGATCTTCAGTATTATCTGTAAAATAGACATAGTTATGTACCTCATAGGATTATTGAGAAGATTAAATAATATTAAAGATATAAAATTTTTGGCAGATATTTAGTGCTCAATAAATGTTAGTTGTTTCTTCCTCTTTTAGTTCTTTTTCTCGGTATATGTACTGCTTAACGCCTGTTTCATAGTCCTGGAGCATAGTAGACTTAGGGTGGACTGTAACTGCCCATAACAGTGTTAAAATATATTTACCATTTTCTTCAGTTAAAACCTCTTCAGAAAATTGTTGAGCCATCCATGTTTATGAATATTGCTCCACCTCCAGAAAGGACAGACCCTGTGACGTAAGTGCTTGAAGTCTTATTAAGACTGTCATATCAGCCCTGGCCGGTTTGGCTCAGCGGTTAGAGCATTGGCCTGCGGTCCAGAGAGACCCGGGTTCGGTTCCCGCTAAGGGCACGTACCTCGGTTGCAGTTTGTCCCTGGCCCTGGTTGGTCGTGCGGGTGGCAGCCACTCGATGTGTCCCTTTCATGTCGATGTTTCTCTCTCTCTCTCTCTTCCGCTCCCTCCCTCCCACTCTATCTGTACAAAAAATGGAAAAATGTCCTCGGGTGAGGATAAAAAAATAAAATAAAAAAAAAAAGACTGTCATATCATGTGGCTTTTCAAACACTTAATCCATTCCATGGAGCATTTTGGTTGTGTTAGGACAGGGCCAGAATGGGTTAGACTCCAAGGTAAAGAGAGCAGTGAATTGTTTTGCTTAAAAAGGAGGGAGAGATTTTGAGATTCTGGGTATAGCCCTAAAGAGAGCTGGTAAGGAGGTCTGGAAGATAAGAAAAATAAAGGAGGAGGGTGACAGCTTCATGGCTGAAGGAAGGAATAAAGGGGCAGCCTGATGTGGAAAGTTGGCCGGTGAGATAATTCCTTTTGTAGAAAGAAGTGAGGGACTTTTGGGATCAAGGTGTCGAATAGGTTTTAATTTTCTGCTGTGCAGTACAGTAGTGTTTACCCAACTTCCACACATTCCAATTGTTACTTCCAAATCCAGCCAAGTTTGTCTATGGTAAAAAAAATATCATTAATAAACCAAAAGTAACTTAAAATACAATGTCAACCAGTCTTGACATTTCAACAGTAAAAGTAGATCACAGGAAAATAAACACCTGAGAGAGACATTTTAATCTATAGTGCTCTCTAAGAATAAAAAATGGAAATATCTGAAATGGAATTAGGAAATTAGGTATAAGATAGGAAATTATATTCCGAAGTGTTTATTGTCCTATAGTCTCACCAACACTGGAAATTATTATTAAAAATACATTTTGTTCATTTGATACTGGTGACTTGTTGAATTAGTAAAGTGGAATGTTTTTCTTATGTTTACTGATTGTTATTTCCTTATCCATTCATTCACTGATTCAATGAACTTTTACTGAAAGTCTCCTATACCCCCAAGGCACTGCAGATACAAAGATACACGAGGTCTGGTCCCTGCCCTCAAGCAGATCATGGTTTAACACAAAGGTAACATATAAAAACAATTATTATGGTACAGATGGGATAAGAGCTCCCCTAGAGATAAACAAAGACCTATGGGACATAACCAAGGAACTCTTCATATTTCTTAGGAGGGAAAGTATTCTCAAGAAAGGATCTACAAAAGAAAGAGTGTTTTTGAAGTAAGACTTGAAAAATGAGCAGTAGTGCATCCTATTGATTTTGCAAGGTTGAGAAGACACATCTCCCAAACAGGGATCTTATGTAAAAGTGGGAGCCTTAAGAGGCTGTATATTTGAGAACAGTGAGTAGTTAGTTGTGATTGGCTAAGAGCATAGGAGTGAGGATGGGAGCAATGGAAGATGAGCTAGAGCAGTCAGCAGGGGCAAGATACAGTGATTAAGAGTTTAGGTTCTAGATCCAGACTGCATGGGCTTATATCTTGGCTTTGCCATGTACTACCTATGTGACCTTGGGCAAGTTACTTAAGCTCTTTGTGATTTATCTATTGATTAACTACCCAATTGAGTTATTGTGATGATTAAATAACTTATGCATAAAGCACTTGGGACATGGTAGCAAGTAGTAAAATGCTTAGTTGTTAACTAGTTATTAAAGTAATAAATATTTTATTATCATTATTGTAGGTTTATGTTCAAATGTGAGCAAATTTTATTGTTTTGAATTCTCAGGAGTGTGTCAGGGCAAAATGAAGGCACTGGAAAATATAGTGCATCTTTTTGGAGTATTACTTTACTCAAAGATATTTGAGAAGGAAAATGTTATAATAAAATTAACATTTACAAATTATGAAGTAGAATTTCTTAAATTACATAAAATTTTAAGATAAAGTGTTTCCAAGGAATGGTATGCTTGTGTCTGATTACATTAAGTTACACCTCCAGAAAGCTTCACTGTCCTTTACCCACAGGAGTTCTTCATTGAACAAGTTTGGAGATGCTGCAGGAGATGTAGAGCCACTATAGAATTTTAAGTGGGGAAAATGTCATGATCAACTTACCTTTTATAACAGTTATATCAATAGGATTGAATATGGATGGAAAGGGTTTAGGATTGGAGGTCAATGATTGGAGGAAGCTGTTATTGTTTAATCTACGTGAAAGATAATGACAATCTAAACTAAGGCAATGTCTTAGTGGTATGACAGTTAATTATATGTGTCAATTTGACTGGGCCCATGTGGTACCCAGATATTTGATCAAACATTCTGGGTGTGTCTGTGAGAGTGTTTTTGGAGGAGATTAACATTTAAATCAGTAGACTGAGTAAAACAGTGTCTTCCCTAATACTGGTGGGTTTCATCCAGTCAGCTGAAGACCTGAATAGAACAAAAACTCTGACCCTTCCCTGAGTAAGAGAGAATTCCTTTTGCCTGATGGCCTTTGAACTGGAACATGGGGATTTTCTGCCTTCTGATGCAAATGGAAACATCTACCAGTCCTGGATCTCGAGCCTGCAGAACTTAGGACTGGAACTACACATTTAGTCTCCCCTGAGTCTCCAGCTTGCTAACTCATCCTGCAGATCTTGTGACTTGTTAGCCTCTACAACTGAATTAGTCCTCTAATTACTTCCCTAATTCCAAAACACATAGTTGGAATAGACATACTCAGCAGTTGGTGAATTCATACATTAGTTCCCTGACCTGTGGAATGAGGGATATTATGGTGGGAAAAGCCAAGTTGAAATCACTAGAGCTACCTTTACCCAGGAAAATAGTAAACCAGAAGTAATACCACATTCCTGAAGTACTCTCCTGGCACCATACATAGCTCTAAACTTACTGAGAAGACATTTGCTTGTCAGGGTGGGAAATAAGTTGGACAAATTCAGGTGTCTTCTACCACAGTGACATTTTAGGAATCCAGTGGTATGGGGCTTGTCAAAGTATTCCTGCTAAGGTGAAGGTAAGTTGCATCTGGCTCCTCCTAAACCAAAGAAAGAGGCATAACATCTAGTGGGCCTCGGGATTTTGGAGGCAACATATTTCTCATTTGGGTGTGTTACTCTGGCGCATTTACTGAGTGATCTTAAAATATACTGCAGATACCTTTATTTTCATCCCTGTCTTATCTCCTTAGCATTTAACATAAGATATATTTACTTGCCCTGGCTGGTTTGGCTCAGCGGTTAGAGCGTCGGCCTGCGGTCCTGAGAGACCCAGGTTCGGTTCCCGCTAAGGGCATGTACCTCGGTTGCAGTTTGTCCCCGGCCCTGGTTGGTTGTGTGGGTGGCAGCCACTCGATGTGTCCCTTTCCCATCGATGTTTCTCTCTCTCTCTCTCTCTGTTCCTCTCTCTCCCTCCCACTCTACCTGAACAAAAAATGGAAAAATGTCCTCGGGTGAGGATAAAAAAACACACACACACACACACACAAAAAGATATATTTACTTTATAGCATAATACTTACGTATTGCTAACCTTGTATCATAGTTAAGTTTCAGAATATCACGGAGAAGGGCAAAACACCAAAGGACTTTGCGCCTCCTCTTCTGGGGAAGGGGCTAGTGAGTTTTTGTTTGTGTGCAAAATAATTGTAGCATTTTAGGAGGAATTGTGACCTTGTTATTGTTTTCATTTGGGGATTAAATATGTTTTAAGGAGATGTTTATGGGTGCCAAGTTGACAAAAGATGGACTTGTGATAGTTTTATGTGTCAATTAGATAGAGATTTGGGTCTAGAGACGGGGAGAGAGGTCTAGACTCAAACACTTTATACTTCTCTTTGGAACTTTGGGTCCTTCTCTCCTTTCTCATTTCTGCTGTCCATGATTGTCGTAGTAAGAGTACTCAAGAGAGCACTTCTCTCAGGATTTCTGACGCTTGTTTTCTTTCCTAGTTCTATCCTCTTATAGCCAAGGTTGATAGGTGAGCTTACAGCATAAAAAAGAGAATGGTTAAACAGTGATAGCTACCACTGACTGGTTTTAGAAGCATACTGTATAATTTCAATATTTAACTTTATTACCATTTTGCAGAAATATTATTATACCACAGTCAATAGAATATCCAGCATTCTTATCCCCAGACCTGAATGTTACTGTTGGGATGCCAACTTCAGCACCCCAATCCAGCCAGCCCCAAGTAGTGCGACTTGAAAAACTTCAGCAACGACCTCGGGAAAGGTAAAAAAAAAAAATTTTTTTAAATCTTATTTATGTGTTATTTGTATATTAATTTTTTCCTTTGAGACATGGGCTTGCTATTAGTACAGAAACCACTGTGGTTATATTTCATGGGTTCAGAGGTTATTCCTGAGTTTTGATTAGCACATTTAAGTGTTTGTTTTAAAAGTTAGTGCTATGGCAAGAAAAGAGGTGAGAACTCATTTATAAGGTATTGTCAACAAAATAAAGAGGTAAACTGAGGCAAGTTCAAAATTGTCAAAAAGATGAATTTATTCAGGAATAACAGAGGAATTGCAATGTAGGACATGCACATTGTAGCAAGCTATGAGTGAGTCCATGGAGAGTATTATGCTGAGCGAAATAAGCCAGTCAGAGAAAGACAAGTAACACGTGAATGCACAGCTAGGTGCTCCTACGTTGGGTGCATAAGTATTTATAAATGTTATATTCTCTTGTTGGATTGACATCTTTATCATTATATAATGACCTTCCTTATCTCTTATAATAGTTTTGGCTTAAAGTCTGTTTTGTCTTACAAGTATAGCTATCTCTACTTTCTTTTGGTTTCCATTTATATGGAATATCTTTTTCCATAGCTTTGTTTTCAGTCTGTTTGTGTCCTTAAAGCTGAAGTATATATATTGTAGGCAGCATATATTTGAGTCTTTTTAAAAATTTTTATTCCATTCATCCATTCTGTCTTTTGATTGGAAGATTTAGTTCATTTACATTTAAAGTAATTACTGATAAGTATGGACATACTATTGCCACTGTTAATTTTTTTCTGGCTACTGTATATTTGTTTCTTCTTTTTTTGCTCCCTTTGTGATTTAATTATTTTCTGTAGTGATATGTTTCGATTCCTTTCTCTTTATGTTTTGTGTATCTACTACATGTTTTTCTTTGTGATTACCATGAAACTTACTTAAAACATCTTATAACAGTCTATTTTGAGCTGATAACAACTTAACTTTGAATGCATATTAAAGCTTTACATTTTACTCTCTCCTCACCATTTTATGTTTTTGAAATCACAATTTGCATCTTATTACCTTGTGCATACATTAGCAAATTATTATAGTTGTAGTTTTAATATTTTTGCATTTTTAACCTTCATACTATAGTTATAAATGATTCATCCACCATTGTTACAACATTAGAATATGCTGAATTTAACTATATATTTATCTTTGCCAGTAAGGTTTATGCTTTCATATGTTTTTATGTTACTAATTGGCATCTTTTTATTTCAGCTTGAAGAAGTCCCTCTAACATTTCTTGCAAAACTAGTCTAGTATGATAAACTCTTTCACCTTTTGTTTATTTGGAAAACTCTTTATCTTTCCTTCAATTTTGAAGGACACCTTTGCCAGGTAGAGATTTTTGTTTTTTTGTTTTTGTTTTTGGTTGACAGTTATTTTTCTTTCAGCACTTGAATATATCACATTACTTTCTTCTGACCTGCATAGTTTCTGCTGAAAAATCTGCTTATAATGTTGTGGTTTTCTTGTATGTAACAAGTTGCTTTTCTCTTTCTGCTTTTAAGATTCTCTCCTTGACTTTCTATTTTGACAATTTAATATAATGTGTTTCAGTGTGGCTCTTTTGGATTAATTTTATTCTGGGCTTCCTGGATCTGGGTATCTGTTTCTTTTTCCAAATTATGGAAGTTTTCAGCTATTATTTCTTTGAATGAGCTTTCCATTCTTTTCTCTTTTTCTAGTTCCCCTAAATTGCATATATCAGTCAGCTTGACGGTGTCCATAAGTTCGTTAAGCTATCTTTACTCTTTCTTTTGTCTCTTTGCTCCTCTGAATTCCAGTGCTCTATCTTTGCATTCACTGATCCTTTCTTCTGTATCATCTAGTCTGTTCTTGAACCCCTCTATTAAATTTTTCAGTACAGTTAATGAATTCTTCAGCTCTGTGGTTTTGTTTAGTACTTTCCTATATTTTTATCTCTTTTTGAAATTCTCACTTTGTTCATACATTTTTCTTCTCACTTCAGTGAGCATCTTTATGACCATTATTTTGAACTGTTTATCAAGTAAATTACTTATTTAGTTGATAAATTAAGGTCTGTTTCTAGAGTTTTATCTTGTTGTTTTGTTTGGAACTTATTCTTCTCTTTTGTTATTTTCCTTGACTACTCTGTGTTGGTTCTGAGCATTAGATAAAACAGCCACCTCTACTTGTATTGATAAAGCTGATTTCATGTAGGAAAGAAACCTTTACAATCAGCTCAGCCCAAGATCTTGCTTATTTCTTAAACTTTTGTGGTTTTCCAAGACACCTTCTTTGTTTTTAGTTGCTCCCAGTAGTTGAAGGTGTGTCAAGATCTGTCAGTATTCCAATGGGGAGGATCTTAGTCAGCACCTAGATTCAGGCTGATTGGAAGCCGGACAGACACGCAGGCAGCTACTGGGAAAGTATGCAGTTAGCGATCTTCCAGAGAGATGGGCTTTTTATGGCTTCTTCCTCTGTGCTTGGCCTGGATGTATACCTACAGGGCTGGGGATGTACCTGCACCCATTAAGAAATGCTTCTTTGTATGCTATAGTCCTTTGAGACTGGTGAATGCAAGCCCCATTGGTTATGACAGCCTGGGAACCCAGGGGCCTGTTAACTGGCAGCCATAAAATCTGGCACCAGATGTATGTACAAGATCTTTCCAGGGATCAAGCTAGAGGGGTAAGGCAGAGATGGTATCTGCTGGCTTCCTTGGTTTCTGGGGAGTATTGCAGTCAGCTCCTAGTTGCATGCTGATCAGAAGTTTGAACCCCTGAGCAGAGAGCCATGGTGAGTTTAAGAACTGTTTTGCTGTAGTCTTGTGGGTCTCATGGTCCCAAACCTGTTAGCTTTCAAGCTAGGTATTTTGGGAGCCTTTCTCTCAGATGGGAGTCTTAAAGTTAAACACTAGATGTGGGGGTCTGTTCTGGGCATTGGGAGTTCCTTTCTGATTGTGTGATGCTGTTCCAGGAGTGTGGTTTATGGTGAGAGTGTGTCTCAACTATTTCTACCCATTTTGATGTGGGTATTTTCTCTTTTGCTCAATGTATAGGAGTTGCTCAGTTAATTTCTGGATTTCTTTCAGGGAATTGCTCTTTGTATAGCTGTAGGTTTGGTGTATCCATGGGAGGAGCCTTCTCACTATCTTGAACTGGAACCCACAAATTTCTTTAATATTTTGGCTTAACAGAACCCAACTGGATTCTTAGAACTGTTTCTGCATTCAAACTGAATGTCTCCCCAAGCTCCACCTGCAGAACCTTGACTTGTCTGGCTCACAATGACAGCAGGGGTTTCCACTCTGCTTTCTCTTGAGTAGCAGTACCACTTGACCCCCTCATCCAGCAGAGTCAGTTCCAGTGAATCATCATCCCCCTTTGCTCACTGACTCATATGTATCTTTCTGGTATCCTTTCATAATCTTGGGATGTTATTCTTCCTACTCTCTTTCTTCTTATAACTACTTTGGAATTTGGCCCTGATAGTTTTCTGTTACTCAATTTTATATTAAATTAATGTTCCTGATTTTTGTAGGAGACTTGGTTTAGAAAGCTTTCTTAGCTTCACAGAGCTCTCACTTCTGATGTTTTCATTTGGTGTTTAAAAAATACAGTGACTTGCCTGGCTGATGTGCCTCAGTGGACTGAGTATCATCCCATGGACTGAGAGGTCCGGGTTCGATTCCTGGTCAGGGCACATGCCCAGATTTCAGGCTCGATCCCTGGTAGGGGGCATGCAGAAGGTAGCTGATTGATGTTTCTCTCTGCATTGATATTTCTATCTCTCCCTCCCTCTCTCTCTAAAAGAATCAATCAATATATATATTTTTAAAAATACAATAACTTGATTTCTAAGAAATTTTCTAAGGCCCTGTACTGGAGTAGAGACCTGGCTGGTCAGCTTTGAGCGTTCACAGTGGTTAAACTACATCAGTCCTTTTAGTTCCTACCATGATTCCTTTGCATTCTCCAGTTTTGTAATGAACAAGCCCCTCCCAGTGTCAATTGCTATTCTTAAATTGGCCAGTTGTGCTGTATTGTGACTACATGTTGGCTATTTGGGGTTCTCTTATTATCAAGTTATAATATTCTTTTTATATCGGTTGTTTTCTTCCATATACACACTGATACCATGAAGGTCTTATATAAATGCTTGGGGGCTCACTGGAATAACTTTCACGTGATTTTGTTGTAAGTGTTGCCTGTAAGTTTTTGGTTTTGCTACCTAGATATTCTGAATATTTTTATGTAGATGTTTGGGAGGATTCAAAACTATGCTACCTCTGCTGCTATTATCTTCTTAGAATTTCCCTCTTTTGCTAAATTTTCATATTTATAAAAATGTATCTGGCCCTGGCCGGTTTGGATCAGTGGTTACAGCATCAGCCTGCAGACTGAAGGGTCTTGGGTTCTATTACTGATCAAGGGCATGTACCTGGGTTGCAGGTTTGAAACCCAGCCCTGGTTGGGGTCATGCAAGAGGCAACCAATTGATGTGTCTCTCTCACATCTGATGCTTCTCTCCCCTCCCCTTCTCTCTCACTCTATCTGAAAATCAATGGAAAAATATCCTCACGTGAGGATTAACAACAACAACAGTTTATCTATAAGGATAATTAATTTAAACAATCATAACATCTACAAATTACAATTTTGTTTCATTATTCCTAATCCTTACTCTTTAATTTTGTTTTGTTTCACTATGCTAGCTAGAAGCTCTGGTCTGTCTGATATAAATAGCAAGGGTGGATATCTTTGTTTTGTTTATGACCTTTAAAGACAATGCTTCTAGCATTTAACAGTCAAGAGCATTATTTATATGTGTTTTTGATAGATACCCTATACCAGCTTAAGTAAAGTCTTTCATTCTTTTCTAGTTTTCTAAGAGGTGTGTTTTTTTTTTAAATTATGAATGGGTGTTAGATTATTTCAAATGCTTTTAATCAGTTAAACTGTATTTAAATTATATTTTCTAATGTTAATGTCAAAATACCCTTGTATTCTTGGAATAAACCCAATTTGTTCATGGTATATTATCTTTATGACACTTGATTTTTTGTACAAAAATTATATGTTACTTAAAAGATTTGCATCTACACTCATCAATGAGATTAAACTAATTTTCCTTTTTTGTCATGTCCTTGTTAGGGTTTATTTTAAAGGTCATAGTATCCCCATAAAATGAATTGGGAAACATTCCCGCTCTTCCTTTTAATTCTTATATCTTTAGTTTTTAAAGCCTTTGGATTAGAAGCTTATTTCTTGAATCAGAAGCTAAATTCCTAATTTTTCATTTGTTTTTCTGTAAAAGATATATGTATATTGGATAATTTATAAAATATGTGTGTATAACTTAAATAAAAATAAGCCTAGATACTTAGGTTTGGCTCAGCGGTTAGAGCCTTGGCCTGAGGCCCAGAGAGACCGGGGTTCGGTTCCCGCTAAGGGCACGTACCTCGGTTGCAGTTTGTCTCCGGCCCTGGTTGGTCGTGCGGGTGGCAGCCACTCGATGTGTCCCTTTCACATTGATGTTTCTCTCTCTCTCTCTCTCTTCCTCTCTCTCCCTCCCACTCTATCTGAACAAGAAATGGAAAAAAAAAATGTCCTCGGATGAAGAGAAAAAAAATAATAATAATTTAGGTTAAGAACTACAACATCCCCAATATCAGAAATGTGTTTTGTGTGCCCTTACAAGATTACATTTCTCTCTCCAACCCTCCCCAGGTAGCTATCACCCTGTTTTTTGTTGTAATCATTCCTCTTCCTTTACTATATTCTAAAACAATAAATTGTTGGTTTGCCTCTTTTAGAACTTTTAAAAGTGGATCATACTGTATGTATTCTTTTGTGAATCTGCCATATGTATTATTCTTACATTTTATTTATTTTCAATATTTTTTTTATTGATTTTTAGAGAGAAAGGAAGAGAGGGAGAGAGAGAGAGAGAGAAACATCAATATGAGAGAGAGGTTTCGATCATTTGCCTCCTGCACACATCTCTACTGGGGATCAAGCCTGAAACCTGGGCATGGGCCCTGACTGGGAATCTAACAGGCAACCTTTCTGTGCATGGGACAATGCTTAACCAACTGAGCCACACCAGCCAGGGCCCTTCTTGCTTTTTAAATCTGTAATTCCATGTTTTATTTCATTAGGCTGGAGAAAATGAAAAAAGAATATAGAGATCTGCATACATGGAGAGAAAAAGCTATGTATTTGGAAGGAGTTCTTATGCACAAATTGGAACATAATGAACTTAAGGTAATTAACATAATATGTTCTCCCATAAATAGCTTTTAATACTTTTTATTTTTAAAGATTATGATAATTAAATGTGATAATTAGGTATTGTTTATGTTCTTGATATATAAAATGTTATTTATGGTTCATGCACTCTACTATTTTGATAATGTGACATTCAATAAATATTGATTGATAATTTATAAGGTTTAGTATTTTAACAGCTTTGTTGAGATATAATTTGTATAGCATATAATTCACATATTTAAAGTGTACAATTCAGTGGCCCTTAGTTATAGTCTCAGAGTTATGTGTCCATTTTTACAATCAATTTAGAACATTCTCATTACCCCCCCAAAACCCCACACCCCTTATGCTATACCTTTAAATCCTCATGTCCTCTAGCCCTATTTTCTGTCTCTATAGATTTGCTTTTTTTAGACATTTCATATAAATGAAATCGTACAATATATGGTCCTTTATGATTTGCCTCTTTGATTTAGCATAGTGTTTTCAAGGTTTATCTTTGTGTTAGCATATATCAATGCTTTTATTTCTTATATTTCATTGTGTAGATATACAAAATTTTATTTATCCATTCATCTGCTGATAGGCATTGAGTTGTTTTTACTTTGAAGCTATTATAAATAATGCTGCTGTGAACATTTGTGTGCAGGTTTTCATGTGAGCATATGTGGTTTTTTTTTATCCTCACCTGAGGATATTTTTCCATTTTTTGTACAGATAGAGTGGGAGGGAGAGAGAGGAAGGGAGAGAGAGAGAGAAACATCGACGTGAAGGGACACATCGAGTGGCTGCCACCCGCACAACCAACCAGGGCCGGGGACAAACTGCAACCGAAGTACGCGCCCTTAGCGGGAACTGAACCCGGGTCTCTCAGGACCGCAGGCCGACGCTCTAACCGCTGAGCCAAACCGGCCAGGGCGAGCATATGTTTTTAATTGGGGCTGGGGGGCAGTATATACCTGGAGCGTAATTGCTGGATCACATAGTAATTCCTTGTTTAACTTTTTCAGGAATTGCCAAACTGTTTTCCACAGCAGTTGCATAATTTTACATTCAACCAGCAATATATAAGTGTTCCACATCTTCTCCTACACTTATTTTCTTTCTCTTTCTTTCTTTCTTTCTTTCTTTCTTTCTTTCTTTCTTTCTTTCTTTCTTTCTTTCTTTCTTTCTTTCTTTCTTCCTTCCTTCCTTCCTTCCTTCCTTCCTTCCTTCCTTCCTTCCTTCCTTCCTTCCATCTTTCTTTCTATCTTTCTTTCTTTTCACTCTCTCTCCCCCTCCTTCCCCCCTTTCTTTTTTCTTTTTAAACATAGCCATTGTGGTGGGTTTGAAGTGGTATCTCATTGTGGTTTTGATTTGTATTTCTCTGATGACCAGTGATGTGAGCATGTTTTCATGTGCTTACTGGTCATTTGCATATCTTCTTTGGATAAATGTTTATTCAAATACTTTGCTGATTTTTAAAATTGGGTTATTTGTATTTTTACAAATTGAGTTGTAAATGTTCTTTACATATTTTAGATACTAGAACCTTATCAGATATATAAGTAAGGTTTACTATTTAGAAATGCAGTCTAACTTCTACATTTTCATTTGACAATAAAGAATTCATAGGGATTTCAGTAAATAGAAAGAACATTGAAATGAAATGATAGTTACAACATATTGATATTTCATATTTTTTAATGCCTGCCTATAATTTGACAGAGTTCTGCTGTTGTAGAATAAATTGATTAGCATTACAAAAATTAATTGGTATTTTAGGGAAACTTTGGGGAGGGTTCTTCATTAAAGGTACTATGGTCTTTGGGTTCTTATTGAAAGATCAGTATTTCATTATAGCCAGTAATCACTCTACTTTATAATTCTTCTTGGAATTTTGTAAAGATCAATATCACTTTCCAACTCATAGACCATAATGTATTTTGATAAAAAGGTCATCTGTTTCCTGGAGGTATCCTCTTATAGTTCTCAAAGTTACATTATGTCATTTATCTTGTAATCTTTTTCTCCCGTACATTCATCAATTAAATACCCTAGCAATTCTTAGGTATCCTCTCTCTGGAACTTCAACTCCTATCCAGGATATACCTCTCTTTAAAATAGTGCTGTTTGGTTTGCTTTCTCACAAATCCATATCCTTCTTGTCTTCTGTACATTTAAAAAATATGTGTTAAAAGTTATGAAGGCAGATAAAAATGTTTTAGCTCTTTAAACATTTGTCCAATGTTTCTCTCTCTTTTCCTCCCTCCCTTCCTCCATCGCTTCCTTCCTTCCTCTCTCTCTCTCTCTTTTTTTTTTTTTTTGCCTCTAGGAAAGTAATTCCAATGAGGTACTTGAAAGCCAATTTGAAAAGAAGCCTGAAGATACTGTAACATCAGGTTAAGAAACTAATTTACTTTTTGTATTTATTATTAAGATAATTAAAAACAGGGTAGTTATATCACAGATATAAAATTAGTAATTTGCTTTAAGTGAATTTTATATTTTGATAGGGAATAAATATGCATTCCATTACAGTTTTAGTACATAGTATTTATTTTATAACACTCCAAAGAAAAGATTTAGACTTAATTCAGAGTCATTTTTAATGTTTTTTTCCTCCTTTAAGGACAATAACAATTAAATTTTAACTATAATCTATGAAAAGGTATTTTAAACATTGTGAACTATACACCTCTTTTATGTAGAGGTTTCGTGTGTGTGTGTGTGTGTGTGTGTGTGTGTGTGAGAGAGAGAGAGAGAGAGAGAGAGAGAGAGAAAGGAGGAGGATAAAGAGAGAAACAGGTAATGAAATTAACATTAAATCTGCAAACATACCACAATTATCAGTAAAATATTTAATCAATGGGGAAAAAACTTTATGTAATCTTTAAAAAAAATCTCTGTAAAAAGATTCATTTAGAAAGTAAATTAAAATGGATGCATAATACTGTATCTTTAAAATATTAAATTCTGAAGGCATGGAGTAATGACTTATTGTTATAAGACTTTTGCCACAGGTGACTTTTCTACTTCTTTACCTTGCTCCCTAGTTACATCAGGCATCTTGTCTATTTTCCTAACCTCTGCGGATCAACCAACCTGGCAGAGCTGTTGCTCTTTAGCCCACTCTTCACCTGAAACATTCACGCTTTAGATGTAGGGAAATCACATTTCCCTCTTCAATATCACTGTTGAAAATTGGAAGTTAACCTCTTTCACTCATTGGTGATGGCCATCTTTCCCTTTTTTAACTTATTTATTTTTTCACTTATCCAAAGAGTTTATTTCAAGTCCCATTGGATCATCTAGTGACTTCTTTCCTTTTGGTATCCCTATGGTTTCCTATAGTTACAGCTCACATTTGTTGATCACAGTGTTCTAGGAACTTTACTTGGGTTTTATAAATCAATCCTCACAGCAGTCAGTTGAGGGCACTATTATTATTTATCCACATTTTCTTCCGATGAGAAAACTGAGGATCAAACCAATCAGGGTTACACAGCCTTTAAAAGATGAGGGTTGAGTTTGAGCCTACTCTGTTTGACCCAAGAGCTCAGGCATTTAACCATATTGCTGCTCACATCTTACATACACTTGTATCATTCCTGTAATATATCATTAGCCTATTTTACATAAGAGAAAAAAACCAAGGCTCAGAAAAATGGGATGACCACAATTACACAGCTAACAATGACCATATAAAATTTTTTTTACTAAATTTATACATTTCTTTGTATCTCAATTCTTTATTCTCTGTCTCTCCCTTTCAGGTTTTTCTTTTCTGTTTGCTAAAGATGTATTCTTTGTTTTTCTAGAAAAATTTTACAAGTGCTTTAATCAACCTCTTTTGAATGGTCTTTTTAAAACTGGTTTATTCTGATCTCTCTTTTCAATCCCAACCTTATCACTGATCATCTGGAATTTATTTTATTTCCTCTTGACTTTTAGAAAAATATACTGTATACCTGTTTTTTTGTTTGTTTTTTGGTACGTGCCCCTAGCGGGAACCAAACCCAGGACTCTCTGGTCCGCAGGCCAACGCTCCAACAGCTGAGCCAAACCGGCCAGGGCTACCTGTTTTTTTTTTAAAATATGTTTTTATTGATTATGTTTAAGACAGAGAGAGGAAGGGAGAGAAAGACAGAAATATTCATGTGAGAGAGAAACATCAATAGGCTGCTTCCTGCACACCCCCTACTGAGGATGGAGCCCGCAACCCAGGCAGGTGCCCTGACTGGGAACCAAAATGGGACCTTCCAGTCCATAGAAAGAGGTTCAAGCCAGTGAGCCACACTGGCTGGGCTGTATACCTTTTTTTTTTTTTTTTATCCTCACCCGAGGACATTTTTCCATTTTTTGTTCAGAGTGGGAGGGAGAGAGAGGAAAAGTGAGAGAGAGAGAGAGAGAGAGAGAGAGAGAGAGAGAGAGAAACATCAATGTGAAAGGGACACATCGAGTGGCTGCCACCCGCACGACCAACCAGGGCCAGGGACAAACTGCAACCGAGGTACGTGCCCTTAGCGGGAACCGAACCTGGGTCTCTCTGGACTGCAGGCCAACGCTCTAACCGCTGAGCCAAACCGGCCAGGGCTGTATACCTATTTTATGTCTTAATCAATGGATCTGAAATTTCATCACTTTATATGTTTTCATTTTATCTTTACATTTGTACATTCTCCTCCATCTGCCAAAAGATTCATCTGTTTTTACTAAATAATGTTTGTTTGAATTGTTGCTTTGCTTTAAATTTAAATTGTTTTTTGTTCTGGTGAGAAAAACTATAATAAAAATTTATTAGTGTACATTCATATAAATAATGTTTACTTTATATGTAATAAAATATTCTGTTCATTTAACAGATATGTCTCTTATAAATGAAGAACCTGAATCTATTTCAAATGAGGTAAGGACCTTACCTCTACTAGTCACTGTTTTTTAAGGGATGAAATATTTAAAAATGGAGAAAGCAGTCAAGAAGTTATTCGGGTTATCCTGGTTATTTTTGTTTTGGAAGTATCTTTACAGTTACGTGATTCATTTAAGTAAAATTATACTCTTAAAAGCAAAACTTCAGCATAAAATAGTATCATTTAAAGACACATATGAAGCCCAGCCAGCGTGGCTCCGTTGGTTGAGTGTTATCCCATGCACGTCACTGGTTCGATTCTGTCAGGACACATGCCCAAGTTGCGGGCTAAATCCCTAGAAGGGGGCATTTCTCTCTCCCTTCTCTCTCAAAAATTAATTTAAGCATATTTAAAAATATATATACATATTTATGAAGATAGGGGACAAAAGGTGTTGATGAAGGGAAGGGGGAAGCAAGTAAAAGAAAAAGCATAAAGTTCTGCATAATGATCTTAGAAATGGATGCCACAGACCTAACCACATTCTTTACTCTATGGAATAATAATCTATATTTTATAGTATAAATAAGTAAAAATAGAGTTTACATGATATTATTTACCTTTTATCTAATTTTACAGAAGGTACATTCCATTAAGTATTGAATCCCTATGTAAACCTATAAAAAATAAAAGATTCTTCTATATTACTTGACAAATGGGATTCAATGATTTCTATCCTTGGGTCATTGGCTCCCAAATACCAGTTGAAAAGTTAGTATATACTGTTTTCCTCAGTCCAGAGAGAGAGAGAAAAAAGACAATATAGAGAATTTTTCATACAGCTAAATTTATTTAGCTTAACAGTGTGTCCTTTATTATAAAATACCATTCTTTGTACTATTTTGCTATTAAAAATTTTTTTGTGGTATAGCTGTGATTTTTTGACATGTGCTATTTGCTATTAAAATATTCTATTTTTTTTTTAATCCTCAACCGATGATATTTTTCCATCTATCTTCAGAAAGAGTGGGAAGGAGGGAGAGGGAGAGAGAGAGAGAAACATCAATGTGAGAGAGACACATCGACTGTCTGCCTCCCGCAGGGCCCTGATCAGGGCTGGGGATGAACCACAACCGAGGTACATGCCCTTGACTGGAATCAAACCCTCGACCCATTGGCCCACGGGCCGATACTCTAACTGCTGAGCCAAACTGGCCAGGGCAGAAATATTCTTTATTTTATGATATATTGGTGATAGTATAAAAGTAAAATGTTAGACCCCCTCAATCTTTTTTGAGATGTTTCTGATTTATTATGGAATAGATGAGAACCACTCATTTACAAAATAGTATGATCTTTTTTATGGATAATGGTCCATGGTCTCAGGCAAGTAGAGAATTGCTTAACTCTTTTAATAAGGACTTTAATAATTTACAGATATTGATGGTAACTTGTCATGATAAAAGATAAAGGTAAAAATGATTTTAAGTCCAGTTTTATTAGTTTTAAATATTTTCTAGTCAGTAATGATTAATTGGTAGCTTGTTTCATTGATATATTTTCTAGTTAATGGATAATGGTGATAAGAAAGGCCTGACTCTACCAACTTTGAACCAGATGGATTGCGCTGATTTAAATGCTATTGCTTCTAAAACTGATGAATCAACAAAACGAAGAGATACTCCATTGTTCACTACTCCTAGACGAACATTAGTAGAAGGGAACAAAATACTACCTCTAGAGGAACACCAACCAGAAGCTACAACAGACGGAAAACTGAATAATATACACCTTCAACGGGAAGTAAAATTAAAAGATAAACATTCAAGCATTTTAAATATAGACTCATCTGCATCAGAGGTAACGTTGAAAAATATCCCTAATAGTAAATCCAAGTAGAATACAGAAGAGGAACTTAGACTCATCTCCAACAGAAATTAGGTGGCAAAGTAACAATCTAAACTTAGGTAGAAGGAAGAGCACAAGCTTAATTTTCCTAGATTCAAAGTCAGAAGGTAGCTTTCAAAGCCAAAATCCAAAGAAAGATCTTGAACTTAAGATATCTGCCCTCATATTAGAAGTATAAGACTAGGAAAAACTAATTTAATTCATTTAAAATAACAGATTAAATACAAATAAATTATAAATAAATTCAAATGTCTCCAAGTGGAAGTGTGTCTAAGTAGTAAACATTCCCATCCTATCTATGCTCATCAAGGAGGAAAAAACCCTTAAAGGAAAAGCAAAGTGATTAGAGAAACCAGTAATATAAGCTAGTCTCATGGGTTGGTGTAATATTCAGCTGAAAGTGTAACAACAATTGAAGAACGTAAATCCAAAGGAAATTTTAAAGCCTGCGAAGTTATCTCAGTGGAAATTTGTCAGTGTACGGATGACGCTCCAACCAACTGAGCCACATCGGACAGGGCTTTTCAGTGGAAATTTTTAATAAAACAGTCACATAATAGGAAATAGCATATATTTTCCTTGTTATAAATAATTTTATGGTATAAAATAAGAATGATCTAAACGTAAATTTAAAGGTACACTAGGGTAAAGCCTTTTTCAAAAGGACAGTTTTTATATTTAGGTCTTTACATCTTATTTGAATTACTGTTATAAGTAGCTCATAAAACTGTAAAAATGTGTATTGGTCAGTGGGTAAACAATCTGAATTCTAAGTAAGGCTCTGCCTCTAAATACTTCAAAAATTATGGGCACCTAAATCTCTAGGTCTATTTCTTCATCTGTTCAGTGACAGATTATACTACATCATTTCTAAATTCCCTAACTCAAAAGAATATACTTTCATTAACTATCTCTAGTTGGGGAATTATTCTTAATTACCTAGATCAATAGCCTAACTAATATAACTTTAAAAGAATGACATTCTGGATTTTATTGGATTTTCAAGTAATATAGTCAGTCATTACAGAAATTTATAAAATAGGCCCTGGCCAGTTTGGCTCAGCGGTTAAAGCGTCGGCCTGCGGTACAGAGAGACCCGGGTTCGGTTCCCGCTAAGGGCACATACTTTGGTTGCAGTTTGTCCCCGACCCTGATTGGTCGTGTGGGTGGCAGCCACTCGATGTGTCCCTTCACGTCGATGTTTCTCTCTCTCTCCCTTCCTCTGTCTCCCTCCCATTCTATCTGCACAAAAAATGGAAAAATATCCTTGGGTGAGGATAAAAAACAACAACAACAAAAAAAAAACCCAGAAATTTATAAAATAGAAGTATAAAAGAGAAAATAAAAGTACTTATAATTCTGCCACATTTAACAATTTTATTTCCTTTTAGTCTTTGCTATGCATATTTACATATACCTTTTATTTATTTTTAAAAACTTGAATCAAACTATATATAATTTTATATTGTACTCTTTATATTGTGCTTTTTTGAACTTGATACTATATTAGCATGCTACCTGAATTTTTTTTTATTTTGAAAAATGCAGAATATTCTCAAATATAGATATTAAGTAATTCTTTTAAACACTTTCTATATTGTTGGACATTGGTTTGAAATTAATATCCTTTTACTTAACTATTTATTGGGATCTGTGATTTTAAACTTGTCTGTTCATAGAAATGGCATGTTGACAGACTACTCTCCAGAAAGATTGTGCCACTTTAGATTCTTACCAATGGTATTTAAGTATTAATAGTCTTTTAAATAATGACTCAAACTTTTTCATGCTATTCGCCATTTTTATTTTCCCTACAAGTAGACAGGTCATATTCCTTGTCCATTTTTTTCTGTTGAGTACTTGGTAATGATGTTTCAAGTTTTATCATGAGATCTTTTTTTTTTTTTCTTTTTTATTAATTTATTTTTGTTACAGATGTTCCTCCTTTTTCCCCTATTGACACCCTCTTCCCAATCCTCCCCCACCCTTCCCAATCCTCCCCCCCACCACGCCCCATCCCCAGCATTGTTGTCTACGTCCATTGGTTACGCATATAAATTCTGTGGTTTATCCCCCCCTCTTCTGAGGTTTTTCAATCTGTACCCTACTTCTATGTCTCTGGGTCTATTTTGTTCATCAGTTTGTTTTGTTCATTATATTCCACAAATAAGTGAGATCATGTGATATTTATCTTTCTCTGATTGGCTTGTTTCACTTAGGATAATACTCTCCAGGTCCTTCCATGTCGTCTCAAAGGATAAGAGATCTTTCTTTCTTACAGCTACATAGTATTTCATTGTATATACGTACCACAGCTTTTTATCTACTCATCTATTGATGGACACTTGGGCTGTTTCCAGATCTTAGCGATTGTAAATAGTGCTGCTATGAACATAGGAGATGAGGTCTTTTCCTTATAAGGATATTAACCATATATTCATGGCACATATTCTTTCATAGTTTGTAGTTTGCCTTTTAATGTATTTATTAAGTCTGACCTCCAAAATATTTAGTCTTAATTTGATAAGTGAGTTATTTATTGCTGCATGACAAACCACTCCAAAACTTAGTGACTTAAAATAAGCATTTTATTATCTCTCAGGAGTCTGTGGGTTGACTTCCCTTAGCTGGGAAATTGTTTTACTCTACTTGATGTTGGCTTGTCTTTTAGTTATCTAGGAGTTGGGTTGGGTTGGAACACTCATAATGGTTCACTTATATGTCTTATACCTTAAGGAAGATAACACTAAGTCTGCGCTCATTTGGGACATATGGACATCTGCTTTGATCTCTTTCTCTCTCTTTCTCTTCCTTTCTCCTTGTAATCTTAATCTTAGGTATTATCCTTCTCCCTATTTGGCCTATTCATGTATTCTCTCCATGTGATCTTTCTAGAAGAACAAAATGAATTTTTAATGGGGCTTCTAAGACACTATTAAGACTTAGGCTTCAGACCAGCACAGAGTGACTTTTGCTGTATTTTGTTCATTAAAGCAAGTCCCATGCTCAGCCCTGGTTCAGTAGGAGAAGGGGCTACATAAGGATATGAATCCTCAAAAGTTTTGTTCATTGGGGGTCATATTTGGATTCACCACCACAGAATAACTATCTGTAGCTCCAAGTAACTTATGTACCTCCCATATATAAAATATACTTATTCCATTTCCAAGATCCTTATTCTCATACTCTTACTGCATGAGACTTAGGCTTGAGGTACAGAATTTCAACATCTAAATCAGATCCAGGTTAATGAGGCTTCTTGAGTATGGCTTCTCTCAATTTTAAGACCTGTGCATTAAAGATGCCAATTATCTGTCCCCTACATACAACAGTGAGTCAGGATAAGGAAAACTGAAATCTTCTGAAGGTAGAGGAAGGGGAAAGTGAAGCATATGGTAAGCAGTCAGTAGGCCATAGAAACCCTGAAGCTCCTGGCTCTGTGCTTGGGGCTTGGCTTACCTTCTGAATACCCCCCCACACACACACACACAAGAATGAGCTTACATTTGTAATGCACTGGATTTGAGGCTCATATCTTATCTATAGAAAGTTGAGAGTTCAAACCCTCTTTTGATTTAAAAATTTCTTGATTCCTTTTAGTCTAAGATGCTATGATTATATTAAAGATTTTGTGAGCTTCCTATGTGTCAAATTATGATCCCAAATATTACACCTCTAAATGTCTTCAAGACAAGCCCCTATTTACCTTTGGCTGATAATCAAGGTTCTGTAGCACAATATTCTTTAAAATCTTAGAAGCTCTCCTGTCAAGCGAGAGGATCTAAGAGATCACCCTAGGATATGTAGAATAGCTTTTGCCTAGCTGAGGTGGTCTATGACACTACCTTAAATCTTTTTTGAGGTCTTAACAACAGTTCTTACAGTCACACCCTATGACCTTGTAGTGGGTTTTGGCTGCCATAAGGTAGTCGGATCCATCTGGGAATATTTCTCTGGAACTGATGAACTCTTATGGGAAACCATGTATAGGCATTAATTAGTATTCAGGCTCTTACTGCCCTGAATTGGGAACACAATGCTGATGAAGATCATCCCCTAGGAAATGAGAAACTGAACCAAAGTAATACAGATAAATTCTTGAAGTTGGCTTACTCTGGGTAACTCCTCTAGCCCTTATGTTGAAACCAGGCAAGAATTTATGAGATGTCATCATGGTAATGGGACAGCAGATGCCCTGCATTGAAGCAGACTCTACAAAGTCGCTTACTGCTGTGCAAACCAATTTTAAGTCCTCTGAGAACACACAAACTTCATGGCCCTATTCAGAAAGCAGTGTAGATATGGCTGCTGAGTCAAGGCATTCCCAAAGATGAAATAGATGGTGTCAGCTATGAAGACCTTGCTGGCTGACATAGAGTGTTAGGAAGACCAACAACAATAGAAGTTTGTTGGATGAGTCATGAATTGCTGCTACACTACTCAAAACTAAAAGTAAATGTGAGGCCCTGTTAAGTGACATGGATTTACTTTCTCCTTCTGCACCCCATGACACCTCCATTCCCCCTTTTCCTAAGCTCATCTGCTTAAGGAGCAACATGATTGGAGATGGAGCCAAGGTCTCCTTGTCCCTACAGTAAATATAAGGCTCTATACAGCCTTTCAAGTTTGCTAGGGAATTTCAGAGAGGGTAGCGACCCAATCTTTTATGGCTGTGTTGGATATGGGTGACCAAGGCTCTATCTTACTTGGACCTGTGGAAAGAAAAGTCACTTAGATTTAGCTAATGGGGTTTGACAAGGTTCACAATGGGGAAGGGAACTAGTGTAACTTTCTGGATGGGGCTCTGTAGGTCAATTGAATATACTGTTTCTGTATCTGAATGTGTAGTTAAAATTATTGTTACATACTTGTTCATCTCCATTCCATAAGTACCAGAGAATTGGAAGAGCCACATGTAGAGATATACTGGTGGGAAATGTAAGTCACTACCC